GTGACCCTTGTGAAACCACTGAAAGACAGACTTGTCCTGGCAATATTCCTATGGGAACAAGCCCTGGATATAAAGAGATTTGGAGGTGAAATCCCAATTCTGGCCATGGGTGGCTGGAGGAGAAGGACAGTTCTTTTCCATTGGGAAGGAAAGCACGGAGCCCCAGTGTTTCAGCAGCAGATGAGAAGAGACCCTCAACATGCCAAGGTCAGCTGGATCAGTAAGGCAGTCCATGGGAGGCCAAACCAGCCAGACCTGTTCTGTGTTCCCTTGGTTTTATGGGGCCCTGAAGTGTAACAATGGCCCCTCAGTTCCATGAGGGTGTGAAGTCTCTTAATTGTCTCTCCATGATTCCATGAGGCCTTGCAATGTCACAATCGACCTTTGTCTCCATGCAGTCTCACAGTGACACAATGGCCTCCAATGGCTCCATGACACCCCAAAGTGCAATAATGTTCTCCACAGTTCCAGGAGATCCTGCGGAGTCAAAATGGCCCCTTGGTTTGATGGGGCCTCACAGTATCACAATGATCCCTACATTCTATGGAGCTACAGAGTGACAGTACGGTCCCCTTGGTTCCATGAGGACCAGAAATGTCACAGTGCCCTCCATGATTCCATGAGACCCCACAGTGTCACAAGAGTCCCTTGAGTTCACAGGGCCGCACAGTGTCACAATGGGCCCTTGGTGTCACAATGGCCCTACAGTGTCACAATGGGCCCTTGGTGTCACAATGGCCCTACAGTGTCACAATGGGCCCTTGGTGTCACAATGGCCCTACAGTGTCACAATGGGCCCTTGGTGTCACAATGGCCCTACAGTGTCACAATGGGCCCTTGGTGTCACAATGGCCCTACAGTGTCACAATGGGCCCTTGGTGTCACAATGGCCCTACAGTGTCACAATGGGCCCTTGGTGTCACAATGGCCCTACAGTGTCACAATGGGCCCTTGGTGTCACAATGGCCCTACAGTGTCACAATGGGCCCTTGGTGTCACAATGGCCCTACAGTGTCACAATGGCCCCACAGTGTCACAATAGTCCCTTGAGTTCACAGGGCCGCACAGTGTCACAATGACCCCAGAGTGTCACAATGGCACCACGGTGTCACAATGGTCCCTCGGTGTCACAATGGTACACAGAGTCACAATGGTACACAGAGTCACAATGGCCCCAGAGTGTCACAGGGCCCCACAGTGTCACAATGACCCCAGAGTGTCACAATGGCCCAACAGTGTCACAATGGTCCCTTGAGTTCACAGGGCCCCACAGTGTCACACACATTGTCACAATGGTCCCTTGTCGTCACGAGACCCCACACTATGTATGGGAAATGCCCGGTAACCAAAGCAAGTCCAAACTTGCCCTAAACCAGGACACCTTCCAGGTGTTTCTTGTGAGAAGCAGGATATATAGGGACCACAAGACCTCTTGGAAACAGTGCGAGCATGCACTGTGCAGTAGAGTGACGTAGATTTCAAGAATGGAAAACAGGAGCAGATTTATGAGTGATCTTTGTCTGGAAGAAGGGTCTTTTTTTCCTAATAATTTCCAATCTATTCCCTCTGCTTTTGTCCTTCCTAACAAGGCCATTTGCATCTCAGATTGCCCATGAAATGGGAATCCTGAGATGGTGGAAGTGCCTGAAAGATGCCCTGTTCCTCTGCAGGGACACTGAAGCTGAACCAGGAGCCTGAGCCCTCTCTGGAGAAGCCTCCTCCGAGCCGGAATTTGTGCTGTGGTGAAGAGGGTCCCACAGAGAGTTGGCCGAGTAACGACACTCACTGCCAATGTGGCTACATATCATTCCCCTTCATGAAGCAGCTTTGGCAATATTTATCCTTCTCTATCCACTGCCTCATGCCACTGATGCCTAATGCTCACTGGGTAAGTAGCTATATTCACACATGCATATTAATTACTGATTGGTTGTCATGCTATAAGCATCTTTAGCTAAGGTGTGCCAAATTAGCAGTTGCCACGAGGTGTTTGGCAGCTGGTTTCATCTTGGCACAATGCTCGTTCTTCCTTGATGTATCTGTTTGAGGACAGTACATGGTCTATCTTGTTCTTGTTCAGGGGACAGTACATGATCTTCAGAGTAACTCTGTAATCTGCAGGCCAGGGTTGTCCAATTCCCACAGGAGAATATCATGACCTTGTTCAGCCAAGAATCCTCCTACACATCTCCGGTTTTCTTTTTGGACAGCCCAGACTCGCTTAACAATTGCTTTTAAACTCTTTTTCATACAAGAAAGAATGCAACAAAGAACAACAAGCACAGCAAAAATAACAGCAAGAGAGTGAATTCCTTCTCTCAATCAGGTTTTCAACCAGCCAGTGATTCCCCATTCTTTGAGCCATTTGTCAAAAGAATTTTCAACAACAGTGAGTTTCTTCATATTATTTTGCAGCTGGGAAAGTTTCTTGTGAATGGATTCAGAATGATCATAAAGATTCGTACAGCACATTTCTTCAAAATCCTCACAGCCATGTCCTTGTGCCAGTAACAAAAAATCAATGGCTACTCGATTTTGTAACACAGCATGTCCTACACTGCCAACATCAGTGGTAAACTCGTCTAGCACTTTAGAGGTAATGTTAATTTGTTTTCCTATCCAACAGGCCAATCGTTTTAACTGAGTGAGGGCTGTGGCAGAAGCAACTCCTGGTGTAAAAAGTGAAGGTAAAATGACAGATGGTCGCTCCCACAACTCAACATTGTCTTTACACTCGGGTCCCAATTGATCCACACTGCGTCTAATAAGCTTAAATTTGCGACTTATATTGAGCATTTGATGGATAGTAGGGGCAAACAAGGTTAGCTTATGAAAGTAGCATGGTCCTCCTTGTGCTTTTGCAGGTATGGCAGGCCAAGCAGGATCCCCACAAATGAGGAATACTCCTGGAGGCAACAGTTTTGCTTTTTCTGCGGATTTACCACACCATCGAATAGGCCAAGTCCAATTATTACAGTAACCAGAGGTGTTGTAATAGCAGGGTGTGAGTGTCTGTCTGAAATTTCCCACATTCTTTTCCTCTCGATTGTCATGAAAGTTTGAGAGCGCCAGGCAAAGGAGAAGATCCTGTTCTGAAAATCCAGGTCTGATTGGTCCACGAAGCCAAATTGCTGTCTACAGGTGTGTTTGCTCGACTCATGGAACACTGCACCCGGGAAAGGCCAGTGTGCTCTCCTTCGCCTGCATCACTTAGCAACGCTGGCCCTGCAATTTCTCCACCCTCCTGACTTGGCTGGACTTTCTCTCTGGAATGACCTTCTCGCTGGTCACCACAAAAGACCCTCCATTCACCGCACATCAACCACCGTGACAGAGAGGAGATAAGCTTCTCCCCTCAAGGACTGAGACATTCAACCCCTACATGGAAAAGCCCCCTCTTCTTCCCTGAGAGACTGAGACTGAAATCCCTACCCTACGGTGGGGGAAGGTGTGTGCGTGAAATGCCCGGTATGCAAAGCAAGCTTGCAAGCGACCACTGGGCCGAGAAGACAATGGTTCTTGCCTGCTGCTGAAGACTTTCTGCACAATGCCTGCTGCTGATTGGCATCACAAGACCCCACAGTGTCACAATGGCCTCACAGTGTCACAATTGTCCCTTGGTGTCACAAGGCCCCTGTGAGTGTCTGTCCCAAATTTCCCGCGTTCTTTTCCTCTCGATTGTCATGAATGTTTGAGAGTGCCAGGCAAAGGAGAAGATTCTGTTCTGAAAATCCAGGTCTGATTGGTCCACTCAGCCAAATTGCTGTCTACGGGTGTGTTTGCTCGACTCATGGAACACTGCACCCGAGAAAGGTGTTTATTCAATAAAAGTACTTTTGCTTTGATTTTACTGCAAAATCCCCTTGTCGTGGCAGCTTTTGCACCCCGAGATCAGTGAAAAGAACCTCCACGAATCTTGTCCTCCAGGACAGATCGTGACAACCCTTTGTTCCATGAGGTTCCATAGTAGAACATGGTCACCTTGGTTCCTTGAGGTTCTGCAGTGTCACAATGGACCCATGGTTCCACTAGGCCTTGCTGTGTCAGAATGGCCCTTTGGTTCCAAGAGGTTTCTCAGGGTCGCAATGGTCTCCTTGGATCTGCAGTATCACAATGGACCATTGATTCAGTGTGGCCTCAATGTCCCAAAATGGATTTTAGTTCCATGGGGTTCTGCTGTGTCACAATGGACCCTGTGTTCCATGAGCTTTCAGAGTGTCACAGTTAACTCCTTGGTTCTGTGAGGCCCCGCTGTCTCCAAATATCTGAAATATCAGAATAAGGCTCCTGAACACTAATTTGCTGTTTCAGAGGGTATAATTTATTCAGGTCTGAGGTCTAGTGAAGGATAACTCCTAAACTTACATGGACACACGATTCTACCAGTGTATTCCTTCTATACCGTCACTAAATGTTTATTACAATTTACCCATTTCCATAAAACCCACCCCAAATTCCCAGATTCACTCCTCCTTTTCTCTGTCTCTGCACCCTTGAGCCAGATGTCTTCTTCTCTTCCAAACATCCTTGCTGGGAAAGCAGATTCTGCATGCCTTGTTCCTGTGCTCAAAGTTCACAGGCAAGGTAAAAAATATTGGAGAAAACTATTTTTAAACTGAAGAATTCAAAAAGTCCACTTTATTTTTCAAGAACGTTTTAAGTGTGATCAAGCTGAAATAGAGAGAGGTGAAATGATCAAAGGGCACCTGTGTGGTTCCAGCTGGTCTGACTGCCCTGACTGCACAGGGAGCCCTGTTTTCCCTCTGGGTTCCCCAATGTTCAGGCTTAAAGCAATGCTGAAGATGAGGCAGTAACTCAGCAGCACAAACTCGAACTCAAAAAAGTTTAGCCAAGTTCAGGAGGAACTTTGCCCTCCCTGAAAGAGAAGTAATTTTGAGAGGATTAAAAAAAAAAAAAAAGCCAAGCAACAAAACAATGGAATTGACTCAAAGAAATTAGTCCCAGTTTGTCAATGTCTTCTTTGAACAGCTCACAATGCCCAGAGTGAAGAAATGTCCAACAGCAGCTCCATCAGCCATTTCCTCCTGCTGGCATTGGCAGACATGCGGCAGCTGCAGCTCCTGCACTTCTGCCTCTTGCTGGGCATCTCCCTGGCTGCCCTCCTGGGCAACAGCCTCATCATCAGCGCCGTAGCCTGCGGCCAGCACCTGCACACGCCCATGTTCTTCTTCCTGCTCAACCTGGCCCTCAGCGACCTGGGCTCCATCTGCACCACTGTCCCCAAAGCCATGCACAATTCCCTCTGGGACACCACCAGAATCTCCTACATTTTTTTTTTTTTCTTTTTCTTTCGTTCCCTCTTTCTTACCCTCCCCTGAAGATATTGGACCGGCTTCGGACCTGACCTGGGACGTCCAGGACCCCCGGAGTCTGCGAGAGAAGCTCAGCGCCCTCCACAGCACTGCCTGGTTTTCTTTTCTTTTCTTGTGTTGGGGAGTGTTCTTTTGTTATTTGTTAATAAATAGGTTTTGTTTTCCACTGTGCTCCTCCGAGGAATTCCTTCCCGAACCCGGTATTGGGGGAGGGGTGGTTGGAGGTTTTTTTTTAGGGAGATCCCTTTTGGAGATTTCCCCTAATTTGTCCTAAACCAGGTTGCTGGGCATCTCCCTGGCTGCCCTCCTGGGCAACAGCCTCATCATCAGCGCCGTAGCCTGCGGCCAGCACCTGCACACGCCCATGTTCTTCTTCCTGCTCAACCTGGCCCTCAGCCACCTGGGCTCCATCTGCACCACTGTCCCCAAAGCCATGCACAATTCCCTCTGGGACACCAGCAACATGTCCTACTCAGGGTGTGCTGCACAGCTCTTTCTGTTTCTCTTCTTCATTTCAGCAGAGTTTTCCCTCCTGACCGTCATGTGCTACAACCGCTATCTGCAAACCCCTGCACTACGGGACCCTCCTTGGCAGCAGAGCTTGTGCCCACATCCATCTGCAAACCCCTGCACTACGGGACCCTCCTGGGCAGCAGAGCTTGTGCCCACATGGCAGCAGCTGCCTGGGCCAGTGCCTTTCTCAATGCTCTGCTGCACACAGCCAATACATTTTCCCTGCCCCTGTGCCAGGGCAATGCCCTGGGCCAGTTCTTCTGTGAAATCCCACACATCCTCAAGCTCTCCTGCTCCAAATCCTACCTCAGGGAACTTGGGCTTGTTTTAGTTAGTGCTCTTCTATATTTTGGTTGTTTTGTGTTCATTGTTTTCTCCTATGTGCAGATCTTCAGGGCTTTGGTCAGGATCCCCTCTGAGCAGGGTCGGCACAAAGCCTTTTCCACCTGCCTCCCTCACCTGGCCGTGCTCTCCCTGTTGCTCAGCACCAGCATTTTTGCCTACCTGAAGCCCCCCTCCATCTCCTCTCAATCCCTGGATCTGGTGGTATGTTCTGCTCCCTGTGCCCATCTACCAGCCCAGGAGAACACTTGTCCTGAGGATGTGCTGTCTTATTGTTTAAAACTGAGGCAAAGAGTGGGTGAGGTACCTCAGCTATTTCCTCATCTTTGGTAACCATATCCCCCACTATAAGAAATGCAGGTTGTCCTTACCCCTCCTTTTGCCAGTAATGTATTTATAAAAACATTTATATTGTCCTTCACAGAAGTATCCAAGTTAAGTTGTGATTGAGCTTTCACCTCTCTAATTTTCTTTCTGCACAACCTAACAACATCCTTAAACATTTCTTGATTTACTTGCCCCAATGTCCAAAGGTGATGCACCCTCTTTTTAACCCCTAATTTCCTGCAAAAACTCCATGCCCAGCCAGGACAGTCATATCCTCCTCTGGGTCATCTTTCTGCACAAAGGGACAGCCTAATTTTGCTCCTTCAAGATTTCTTTTTTTGAAGTGTGTCCATCCTTCCTGGAACCCTTTCTTAAGGGATGTTTCCCTTAAAAGAATCAGTACCTGATTCAGTGTTTCATGTTGCACTGGATGTTGTATTAAACCCTTTACCAAAGTTGCTTGATTTTTTGTACTTTGCTAGTAAAACTTGATGTCATTTTTAACCTCTTGAGCATATCTGGTGTTCTGCTTCCCCCAGCCAGCCCAGGCCTTGCTCATCATTGCAGTTCCCTGCCCAGAGCCTTGGGCTCCCGGCACTCCTGGCCTCAAGGATCTGCTCTCACCAGTCCCTGGGGAGCCTTTGGCACTCCCTGCCCTCCCTGGGGCCCAGCCATGCTCCAAGGCACTTGGACTTTTGCTGCTGACTCCTTGAGCAGCTTCTTCATCCTCCTCTCAGTGCCTGAGGCTCCTGGACCCAGCCCCAAATCCACTGTGGGGCTGATTAAAATACAGAAAGCCCTCAGGAGCTCTTTGTCTCCTTTAAATTGTCTTCAAGTCTCCAGGGCTTGTGCAGTAATTGGAGTCAGTTTGGAGTTCTGTTAAGAAGGGAGATTCCAAAGTGCACCTCATGATTTTTTGTTTTTTTAATCACATATGTGGGTTTGTTTTTTTTTTTTTTCATTTCAGAGAAGAGGTGATAGAAGCATTCCTCAAGTGATTTTGATGCTGAATGTCTCCTTAGGAGGTCTGGGCAGGCCCAGGAGAAGTTTTCCTCTTTGTAAGGAAGGAGTGGAAAAGCCTGAGCAGATTTCCTGAACAAGAAACCCCACTAGGAACCACATGCTCAGTCCAGGCTGCCTGGAATGGTGTTGCCATCCTACAAGGGTCATTGTGACCAGAAATGATCTCTGGAAGCAGAATTCTTGGAGTCTTTCAGCTGAATTCTCTGTCCCTCTCCTTTCCCTGGATCTGTGCTGCAGATGGAAGCTACTGGTGCCATCCTCACCTTTAACCCCTCTTTTGAATGCAAACAGATGTTCCCAGGTGTGTTAAGCAGGTGTTGCTCAATGTTTATGCAAAGGTTTTTGGTTCCTCATGCAGCCAAGGAGACCCTTGTGACACAGCCAGGGCTCATGGAACCAGTGGTCCATTGTGACACTGCCCATTCAAGGAGACCATGGTGATACCATGGACCCTCATGGAACAGAGGATCCATGGTGACACAGCAGAGCCCTGTGGAACCAAGGATCCTTTGTGATACTCCAGATCCTCATGGAACCCAGGATGCATTGAGGCACAGCCGGGCCTTGCTGGAACCAGAGAAACTTCTGTAAAAAGCAGGGTAACTCACAGAACCAAGGAGTCCATTGCTACAGGATAAAACCTATGGAACCAGGGATCCATTGTGACAAAGTGGGGCCTCATGGAAACAAGGGACCACTGTGACATAGTGGGACCGAATGGAACAAATTGTGCATTATGACATTGTAGATCCAAGGAGACGATGGTGACACTATGGAACCTCATGGATCCAAGGGGCCATTGTGACACTGGAGAACTTCATGGAACCCACACTATGGAAGCTCATGGAGCCATGGGTCCATTGTGACAAAGCAAGGCCTCGTGGAACCAAGGAGACCATGGTGACATCATGGAACTTCATGGAACCAAGGGTCCATTGTTACAGTCCAGAACCAAGGAGACCATGGTGACAGTACAGAACCTCACAGGACCAAGATTCCACTGTTCTGCAGTGGGGCTTCATGGAAGCGAGGAACCACTGTGACACAGCAGGGCCACATGGAATCAATGGTCCATAGAGATACTGTGGATCCAAGGAGACCATGGTGATGTTATGGAACCTCATGGAACCAAGGGGCCATTGTGACACTGTGGGGTCCCATGGAACCAAATATTAATGGTGACACAGCAGGGCTGCTTCTAACCACTTGTCCATACTGCAGATCCAAGAGTCCGTGGTGACACTATGGCAGTTCATGGAACCAAGGGGCTTTTGTGACACACCAAGGCCTCGTGGAACCAAGGAGAGCATTGTGGCAGTGCTGAACCAAGGAGGTCAGTTTGACAGTACAGAACCCAATGGAACCAAGGGTCCATTGTTATACAGCAGGGCCTAATGGAACCAAGGGGCCACTGTGAAACTGTGGGGCATAATGGAGTCAAGGACACCACTGATACTGAAATCCATTGAATAGAAAATTTTAAACAGAGTTTTGAGTATTTGAAAGCAGGTATTTTTTATTACAGCATGGTGGTCACTTGGGCCATCCTTCCTCCATTCAAATGCACTGAGCATCAAATGAACAGAGTTTTTAACACACACACTGAGAATGTATTCATTAGCTATCCCCACTTCCTTTGAATTTATTTGACATAGTTGCACCTCTTTTCAGAAGTCCTTACATGGTTCTTTGGGGTTTGTCTTCAACACCTGGTGTCCTTTTTAGGTGGCTGTTCTTCAACCCCTGCTTTTGAGTTAGGGCAGTATTATTGTTCTGTATAACTTCTATTTTGTCAGCCTTGCAGAGCTGAGCTAGTGTGTTCTACTTGCATTTTGTGTGACTTCTGTTTGCCAGAGGTACATCCTTAATCAGTTTCTCCAGGGCTGGGCTGTTCTGTTCTACTGTTCTTGGAGAGAGTAAATGTTGTTCTGTTCTCCTGTCCTTTTCACAGTGCTCAGCCTGCATGAGATGTGTCTGCAATCCCCCAACCTATGTGCCTGGGGTGTGCAAGTGTTCCTGGGGGAACAGGGATGGGACAGCTGGGCTGGGCTGACCCAAGGGATGTTCCATTCCATGTCACACCATGATCATCAATCAAATGAGAGAAGCAGAGGGACAAGGGGATAGGGGATTAATTTCTTTATTAAGATGGCTTTTTTTTTTTTTTCAAAACAGCACCTACACATGCAGACTCTTCTCCTGCCACAAGCTGGTCAAACATTTTCTGCTAATAGGAGATTTCCTGTGGATTTGCTTTCTTCCATTAGTGGGCCTTGCTGTGCTTTTTTTTTTTTTTGTTTGGGTTTGGAGGTTTTTTGGTCAAATTTGGGTTTTTCCTTATTGAATTGCTTTTCTTCTGATGCATAAGTGTTTCCTCCTTTTTCTTGAGGCTTGGTTTGGACCTGATGGCAAGACAAATTTACCCAAGTCAGGCATCTTGCCCAATTTTGTTTTGCAGTCACCATTAACTAGATGAGTTCAGTCACAGACTGCAATTTGGCAGCATCCACAAAGGAATTGAAAGTGCCTTTCATGCCCTTGTAGAGATAACAGAAATGTTCCACAGTGGTGGTCAAGGTTTGGTCACTGAGGGATGTCACCAGGGTGTGGCTGCCAAGAGGACTCTGTACCATGGATGACATTTGACCCTCATTGTTCAGCCACATCCCCACCCACCCAATGTTCCACTCCTTCAGCCCAGCTCTCTCCAGTTGGGCTCTGAGGAGAGCACAGCAGACCCTGTCACAGGCCTGGCTGAAGTCTGGGCACACAACATCCCCTTCTTTTCCCTCCCACGTGGGTTCTGCAGTCCCAGCCCTGTCCTGCCAGTGCCTGGAATGGCTGCAGGAGGATTTGCCACATCCCCTTCCCTGCTGAGCCTGACCAGGCTGTGACTCACCCAGTCCCCCTCCCTGTCCTGTTTGCAGACTGGTTCCATGTCTGCCCTTCCCAAGTGCCCAGGACCCTCTGGGATGGCTCTGGCCTTTCCAAGGGGTTTGGGAGAGGTCCCACAATGACACTGCCCAGCCTTCTCAACAGCCCTGACACCAAGGGCCTTTTCCACATCTCTCAGTTCCAGCCCAGTGCCCAGAACCCAGCACAGCCCTGTCCAGGTCCTTGGGGTGGTTCAGAAGGGAGGCAGCTGTGATTTCTCCCCACAGGCCCCCACTCCAGTGGTGTCTCTGTGCAGTCCTTGGCTGCCCTGAAGCCCTGGTTTAGGTCAAATTTAAGGAGGCAACCTCCAAAGGGTCCCTCTAGAAAGCAAATTCAAGCGCCCCCTCCCTTCACTGGTTCAGTGAGGCAAAAAATCTCCTTCGAGAAAAGTGGAAAAAATTCTGTTTATTTAACAAGCAAAGTACTCACAAACATGAGAGAATGGATAATATTAAACAGTGAAACCTCTCATTGCTCTAAGAAATGGCAAATTCAGAATGTCCTTCTGTGGTTTGCAGAGTCCTTCCATGGGCTGTGGCTCGGCTCCCTCAGTCTCCATCAGTCCCTCCAGCACTGGAATGCCGTGTCCCAGGCCCCGGTGGGCCACAGGCGTGAGCTCCCAGTGTTCTTCTGGGTTTTTGGTCCAGAGCAGGGCTGAACAGTTCCAAGGAAAGGAAAAGCCCCAGTCTGGGGAACTTCTCTGCCTCAGCTAGCAAAAATAAACTAACTAAAAGCAAAGGAGAGCTCTCTCCTGCTCGTGTCTGTGCTGCAGACCAACAGGCACAGAGAGAGAAAGAATTCTGGGGCAGTGAAAATGAAGCTTCTGCACACACAAACTGCATGCTGTGACTTCCCTCCCTTTGATCTTGGAACCAGTCTTAAAGGTGCAGAACTTATTTCTGGGGTAAACCGATGTGTGGGACATAATTTGGCATGACAAAGTCACCCCAGGACACCTGAGCACTTTATCTGGAGCCTCCTGCCCCTCGATGTTTCTCTCCATGCAATCCTCAGCACGGTCCAGCAAAGAATTCAGGTGGTTTTGCAGAGGACACTACTCTCAGAGTGCAGAGGCCTCAAGGCACTGTTTGTGCCACTGGAATTGTGCCAGCCCCGAGTGCTGCTGATGCTGTTTGTGCTCACTGGGGTTCATCTCCCCACACATGCACGATGCACTGCTGAAATCTCCTCAGGACAGAACAAACATGACCTGCTGGCCCGGTCACTTGGTGTCCCTCCGTGCAGGGACAAACACCCTCCTGCAGGTGGGGGAGAGGCCAGTGCTGGCAATGGTGGTTGCAGGGGCTGGTGTGGGACAGTTGCCCTGGGGCGCCTTCCCAGGCTGTCCCCAGAACAAAGACACAGCCCAGGCCCTGCTCTGCTGCTCCCTCAGGTCCATGCCAGGAGCTCTGGCTGTGCCAGAACACTGCTGTGTGCCCCCCTGCACACTCCCCCTCTGCCCCAGGCACTGGGCTTTGCTGTGCCAGGGCATTCCTGGGGCACATTGCTGACAGCAGCTCTGGAGGAGAGCGAAGCCTTGCTGCTCTGCCCTCAGGAGATGCCCTTTGCTGGTGGAGCTGCTGTGCTGGAGCCCAGCTGTGTCCCAGCAGTGCCCATGGCCTGTCCCTGCCTGTGGCCACAGCACGGACACGCAGCAGGACAGTGACCAAGCTGCCAGAGCACTCCAGCCTTACAGCCACAGCAGGGCTGGGAAGGAGAGCGTGGAGTTGGGCAGAGCAGCTCTGAAAGGACCAATCCCTGCTGCTCCCTGGCAGTGCTGCTTTGCTGGGACTCTTTTCCCCTTCTCCCCTCTGACTTCATGCATATCTCAGAGTTGGGATCCCAGGTAGGACAGGCACTGCAAGGTAGGTTATTTTCTTCAAGTGTAGAGATAGCACAAACACTGGTTTACAGAACTTACTAGTGAAATTCAAGTGTCAGACAGTGAATTAGGTGGGAGTGATTAAAAAAACTTAATTGAAGATAATTTTATGACAGAAAAACACACTGAACACTGTAAAAAGACCTGGGAAGGTCTTTTGGGCTTGTTATGAGTTCCATTCCAATAGTTATGCAGGAGAAAACAGGAAATTGGTTGCTTCAGAAATCAACCAGTCATCATTTTCCTCAGGGCATCCTTGAGCTCCTGGTTCTTCAGGCTGTAGATGAGGGGGTTCAGGGCTGGAGGCACCACTGAGTACAGAACTGACACCACCAGATCGAGGGATGGGGAGGAGAGGGAGGGGGGCTTCAGGTAGGCAAAAAATGAGGTGCTGAGGAACAGGAAGAGCACGGCCAGGTGAGGGAGGCAGGTGGAAAAGGCTTTGTGTCGTCCCTGCTCAGAGGGGATCCTCAGCACGGCCCTGAAGATCTGCACATAGGAGAAAACCATGAACACAAAACAACTGAGTCCTAAACAGACACTAATTGCAATGAGCCCAAGTTCCCGGAGATAGGATTTGGAGTAGGAGAGCTTGAGGATGTGTGGGATTTCACAGAAGAACTGGCCCAGGGCATTGCCATGGCACAGGGGCAGGGAAAATGTATTGGCTGTGTGCATGAGAGCAGTGAGAAAGGCACTGGCCCAGGCAGCTGCTGCCATGTGGGCACAAGCTCTGCTGCCCAGGAGGGTCCCGTAGTGCAGGGGTTTGCAGATGGACATGTAGTGGTTGTAGCACATGACTGTGAGAAGTGCAAACTCTGCTGACATGAAAAAGGCAAAAAAAAACCCACCTGTGCAGCACACCCTGAGTAGGAGATGGTCCTGATGTGCCAGAGGGAATTGTGCATGGCTTTGGGGACAGTGGTGCAGATGGAGCCCAGGTCGCTGAGGGCCAGGTTGAGCAGGAAGAAGAACATGGGTGTGTGCAGGTGCTGGCCGCAGGCTACGGCGCTGATGATGAGGCCGTTGCCCAGGAGGGCAGCCAGGGAGATGCCCAGCAAGAGGCAGAAGTGCAGGAGCTGCAGCTGCCGCGTGTCTGCCAATGCCAGCAGGAGGAAGTAGCTGATGGAGCTGCTGTTGGACCTTTGCTGCTTTGGGGTATGGGTATTTACAGAGGATTAAAACCTGTCTGGGAAGGAAATGGCAGTGTCAGATTGGACATTTCTTCATTCTGGGAATCATGGACTGTTGAAAGAAGACACTGACAAATTGGGACCAACTTCTCGGAGTCAATCCTCAGTATTTTATTTGGAATCCCCTCAAAATGACTTCCATTCCTATGAGGGAATTTTCCTAAACTTTTTTTAGTTTGCATGTATGCTGCTGAGTTACTGCCTCATCGTCAGCATTGCTCTCAGCCTGACCACTGGGAGCCCACAGGGAAAACAGGGCTCCCTGTGCAGTCAGGGCAGTCAGACCAGCTGGAACCACACAGGTGCCCTTTGATCATTTCATCCCCCACTATTTCAGGGTGATCAAATTTAAACATGCATGAAAAATAAAGTGGGCTTTTTGAAAA